TCTTGAAAATACAAAAAAAAAAAAAAGAAGTTATATATCATTAGGTTTAAAATATCATTAGACTCTAAAAATGAAAACTATATACTCCGAAGTCCTCTTTTAATATATTTATTTTATTATTTTAATATGTCTATTTTCAACCTATTTGTTTCACTTTTTTTTTAATAATTTGTACATTTTACTTTAATAAAAAATATTCTTACACTCCATACAATATTAATTACAAAAAAAGATAAAAAAAAATATAGAAGTAAATGAATATAAAGGTAAAAATGTCATTTTATACTTAGGGTGCAAAAAGTAAATTATTACATTTGCGAAAAATAAATTATTATATTTGCGGTAGACGTAATAAGTTTAAATAACACAGCTTGTAAGTGAAAATTATTTTGATCGGGCGAAAGTTGTACAAATAAATTAAAATATATTTATATTTTCACCTAATATTTATTAGACGTAGATGGTTTTTTTTTTTTCATATTCTATTAAATGTATTTTTAAAGACATTTTAGTCAATATACTCTATATAAACAATGGCTGATATATATATATATATATATAAATGAATAAAAATATTATGATTTTTTTATTTGCACTCCAAACAACTTTATTTTTTCAATGTATATTTCAATCAATATACATTATTTATTTTTTCTTAGTAAATAAAATATTAAAATATTATTTAAATTAATATTCAAACCAAACAAATTTTCAAATATTTTTTTTTGAGATATTTTAAATTAGAAATAATAGCAAAAAATTTAGGAAGAAAATATTTAAGAATTTGAAGATTTTAAATAATATAAATAAATATCAAATATGGTACTCCCTCCGTCCCAAATAAGGTGCAACATTTACTTTTGGCACGGGTTTTTAGGTGGGTAGTATTAAGCAGGATAATTTAGAAATGAGGTGATGTGATGGAGTGAGAAATATATATTTTATTTTTTTTATTTGGATGATGTGAGAGGATAAAGTGTGGGGTAGAAATTAAGTATAATTAATTATTTTCTATTTTATAAATGTTGCAGAATATTTGGAATATACCAAAAAGAAAATGCTGCAGGGTGTTTGGGACGAATGAAGTATTATTTTATAAAAAAAAAATATTTATAATATTATATATCAAATGATAAAATATTAAATACTCCTTCCATTCATTTTTTTGTCCACTATTTCTATTTTGTATGTTCTACTTTATTATTATTATTATTTTTTAAGAAGTATGATTATACACTTTAATTATTTTTTAAAGTTTATAATTTATATTTTTTAATCTTAATTATATTATTTAGCTATCTTAATTTAATTAATTTTATTGTACAATAATTATTTTTATTAATATATTATTTAATTATTTACTAATTATACTTTATTTAAATTCTCGTATCTACATTAAATTGAACGAGACAAGAAAAATATTAAATAATGTCAAAACTATATATAAATATATATAATAGATGAAGGAAGGAAGCGTGTCAGATAGTAGACAAAGCATGCTGGGACACTATAATAACACATGCACGACCCATATATATAATTCTAATCTTCTACAATCACATAATATAAATTGCAATAATTTATATATATATATATATATTAATTATTTACAATAATTATAATAGTAATAAAAATAAACGAAGAAAAGAGAAGTGTCACGTGACAAACACATGTACTTTATCCAAAGTCGCCACTAAGAACAAAAAAGTGCACAAATACACACACATACACAAACATATGGGTGCGTGGTATTTAGGAGGTAAGAATACGACAAGGTTAAAAGGGCTGGAGAAAAATGTCAAATGTTGTTTTTTCTTACATACTCACTCCATATGTCGTATCATATATATATATATATATATATATGAGTGCGGATCCGGTGCTGATCCAACTAAATCAATATAGTTATATATTTTTGCATAACATAATATTTATTGATATTATAAAATACCATATGTTGGATTATAATATAACATATGTTATATCATAAATATACTATGATAATATATAATATATGCTGATTACCTTTATATGATATGTTGACCCGCGACCATATACACATATATGAATATATATTACAAGGGTTCGGGAGCTAATTAGAGTTAACTTAGCAATGTCTCAATTAGTATTAATCAAGAAATGATAATAGTCCACACAATATATATTACTGTCGATCTCAGCAAAAAAATATGTATATGTTAAAATAACAGAAGTACATGAACCTGATAATCTATAGTAATAGTTTCCTCAATAAATATTACAATTAATATGTATGTTAATAGTCCTTCCGTTCCGCGTAAAGGTGTATGAATATTTTGTTATTTTCATTCGTCTCAACTCTCGTAACAACATATATTCCCTCTGTCCCGTAACAAAGTATTCATTTTTCCATTTTAGTCCGTCCTATAACAAAGTATCTATTTTTTTTTTAATAATTGTACTATCTACCTAATATTACAAATACCCTTACAACTTACAATATATTATACAAATGTCATTACATTTATATCACACAATACTAATAAGGTTATTTTACTCATTTCTACTTTATTCCTACTACATCCAAATATAATACTAACAGTTCTAAAACCCCGTACAAAAGACAAATGGATACATAGTTATGAGACGAATGAAGTATATATATATTTAGCAATTGTAGATTCTACTATTTAATACAAATACCCATAATTTTCTTATATACTTACGATTATAACATTATTTTTACATAGAAATAAAAATAATTTTACATTGCTTTCAATTATCCACTACAATTAATATATTCTTATTACTTAAATTTCATATAAAAAGTAAATATATACCTTTAGCCAGGACAAAGTGAGTATAATATAAATATATAGTATGAATTGATAATATATGGTACTAATCAACCCGACATACATTAATTTGGTTCGAGTCATACATTGAGAAATATGTCCGCGCGAGTTGGAGAGGGACTTTAATAAATGTAATGCTATATTAGTTGATTACGACATAAAATATAAGTATTTTAGAAATTAAATGTATGAATGAGTTAATAAGAAGAGAATTTTATTTATTTATTTTTTTGATAAATTAAGTATGTAAATGATTGAGACATATTTGTAAAGAAATATAACATGGAAAGGTATAAATCAAGACATACATATAATTTTATTTTTTTTGCTATAAATAAAAGAATTATTCCCTTCGTCCCATAAGAAGGGTGTTATTTTCCATTTTCGCTCGTTCCAAAATAAGAGTATCATTTTCTAATTTAGTAATTATACCATATATCTAACATAATAAATGTCCTTATAATTTACAATATATTACACAAATGACATTACTTTTATATTACACAATACTAATAAGAGTATTTTCGTCTTTCTTACTACAACCCAATATAATATTAATATTAAAAAATCTACGTGCAAAAAGCAAATGTTACTCTAAGATGGGGGGAGCATTATTATTTTTTTCCGTTGACAAATAAATATATATAATTTTGTTGGACGAAGTATTATTTATCAATAGTAATTCTTTTTAAAAAAGAGGATTCAATCAAATATTCCCTTCATCCCAATACAATAGTCTTGTTTACAATTTTTGTTCGTCCCAAAACAATAGTCTTATTTCCATAAATAATCATATCAACATAAAATTATACATACTTTTTTATTTTTATTGCACAATTACACTAATACACTCACAAAGGCAAAAAAGTCTTTTATCCATATTTTTTTACCAACTATCAGTATAATATCAATATTCCTTAAATCACGTGTCAAACCGAATTAAAACTATATTTATGAGACGGAAGGAATATCAATATTTCTTAAATTTCGTGTCAAACCCAATTAATACTATATTTATGGAAGGGAGGGACTAGTAATTCACTTTTTAAACAATCAAATTTATAAAATTTCCTAAACTCTTGGATATATGCAGACCGTAGATTGAAAACCTAATGCATGCGTGACAACAGCTCAATGACAATTGAATTAATTAAAAATAAATTGAGGAATAAATAATTACAATGATGAGGTCATGATGGAGACTTCGATGTTGACTTATAACCATAGGCATAAATTGAGATAGCTCCACTTATTATTATTATTGTTATTATTTGATATTTATAATATAATTATATATTTGATATATTACTTTAAATAAAAAATTATAATATATTAAATAAAAAAAATACTCCTTCTCTCCCATATTTATCTATTTATTTATGTAAAGTTTTAGAAATATTAATATTATATTGGAATGTAGCAGATATAAAGGTAAAAAAATTAAACCAACTTGATATTTATGTAATATATTATAAATTAAAAGAATATTTGTGTTATTAAATTGATAATACAATTACTTAAAAATAAAAATAAAAATAATAGATAGATTGTTAAGAGTATTTAATTTGATGGTGTTGAATTATTTCATTTTACTTTTTGAGAATAATCCCAAAATCAATTCAAAAAATTTCAATAAATTAGCTTCATCATTAAAATTAAATTAAGTGAAAAAATAACGTGTATTTCACGATAAGTATATTTAAATAATATATATATATATAATATCAAGAAATAATTGATATGGAGAGTAGTAGTAGGGGACCACTTCTCACCGTAGGATTAGGCAAGAAATCGACGGCCATGTGCCGGGTAGGGTCCACCCATTTAAATTCACTTGCGCGCCAAAACGTAAACCGGAGCCTCCTCCGGGCCGACCCGGATCCGGATCCAAATATTAATTACTATTATTATCTTTTTCTTCTGCTTCATAAAATCATTATTAGTTGCCATTAACTGCACAACATAATGGATTACACAATAATTACATATCACTTTTGATCAATCTTTTTTCCAATTCCCAAATTATTTGCAAGCCCTAGAAAATTCAATTGGGGGGTAAAATCAGAAATTTGTGCAAACCCAAAGGACTATTGTGCAAAACCTGCAATTTAAAGAAATTATCAGCGGATTTTCCAACTGTTTTTCTTCATTCTTCCAGGCGATTGTTCTTTTTCATTTTTTTCTCAGTTCCATCTTTAATTTCCCTCCATGGACCATTTTCTTTACCTTGTTTGTGTCTGAAGAAACATTGGGGTGTAGTTTGAGGCTTTAGGGGTGTGGTGGGGACGGGAGTCGTTCTCTTTTGGCAGAAAAAGAATAAAGAAAAGAACCAAAAATCAATAAACAATGATATTTTTTTTCAATTCTTTAATCTTCGTCGCTGCGTTCTATACTGCATTTCCCGCTTCTTCTTGAATCCCAATCTCCCTTATTTGACTCTTTCTGCTTTGGCCTCTCTGGGGTGTGGTGGGGAGCAAACGAAGAAGGATTTGAAGATTAGGTTTAGGAGTAAGAAATGGGGGAAGGAGTTGAGGGTTTTGGGAAGGAAGAAGGAGAAGAAGTCATGGAAACTCCAGAGAGAAGCAGGAACAACCAGATCGCTGCATCTATTGCCAAATTCGAGGTTTTCCTTTGGTTATTTTGGCATAATATGTTTGAATTATTGTTCAATTTCGCTGAATTTGGATTTCTAGGGTTTCTGCATTTTAGGTCTGGATTTGGGGATTTAGGGATTTTGAGAATTTGTGTTCTTCTTTTGGTATTTTCTTTATTAGTCAGTTCTAGAAGGAATTATATCTTCCATTAATCTTTGTAACGTAGTTCTTGGTTAGTAAACAAGGGGAAAATGGATTGGATGAATTTGATGAGTGATACATGTTCTTGAAGGTTTTTCTTTAGTTTGCCTTTAATTGTGAATCTGTGAAATGTTCATATGGAAATTTTAGATTCAATGGCTTCTTAGATCCATTTTTTAGCCAAGAGGAAGTGTTTGTGGATAGACACTATTTTCTATGAAAATTTTGTGTTTATGTCTCGACATTTTTGGCTTCGACCAGCATTTTCTTTTCCTTTATTGATTTTCTTCAAAATACAAGTTTTCGAGATTATTATTGTCTCTTGTTGCAGGAATCCCCTGTTTTTAACTTTCTCAACAACCTCTCACCAATCAAGCCGGTGAAATCGATCCACATTACACAAACAATAAACCCTCTTAGTTTCGCATCCCTCCCGTCTGTTTTTGCGTCGCCCCATCATGTTTCGCTCAAAGAATCTCGATTTTATCAAAGGTAATTAATGCATTGACTTGTTGCTAACCGGTCGCTTTGTTCGTCTAAATTACTACTGGCGTGAGCATTAATTGCATATTCTTTTGCAGGCATCGTCTGTTGGATCCATCGAAACCCGAGTTTTCTTGCGGTGAAGAGGGCGGCGGCGTTGATACGAACAAGGAAAATGCTGAAGGTACTAAGAAATCGGGTGAACATCAGGTTGATAAGAACGCGGACGCGATAAATCTGGTTGATCAAAATAAAGAAACAGCAAGTGAATGGGAGGATTTGCTTTCGAATGCCTCCGATCTCATCGTTTTCGAATCGCCGGGTGACGTCAATTCTTACGAGAAATCAGTCGATCCCGGAGAGAGTTTCTACGCGAGTATGAATAACGACATGGAGAATATGCACACGCTGCTCGATTCGGGCGAACAGCTTGGAGAAAGATGCGAACTTGAAGATGGGTCAACTCATCCCGAAGAAGGAATCGAGACGACACAAATTGCCGATGCCTGTGACCTAATTGCAAATCCGTTGCTGATCGATCATGGCGAAGAGAACGATCACGAGGTCCGTAAATTTTAGATCTTCGACTTGATTTGTTCGGTAGTTTTGATTGCAATGTACAATAGATTAAAATTTTCGGTATTTTGCAGCATCTTTCGGGAATCTGCCGTGGGATGAGAAGACGGTGTCTGGTTTTCGAGATGTCGGGAGGCCAAAAACGGCATTTCGACGAGCATTTTGGATCCGGGTCGTCGAATTTACTCCGATCTGACGGAAGTACATCCTCCGTCGACGAGCAGCAGCATCTTTCGATAAGGGCGGGAAACGATTCGTCACGTCGTATATTACCTGGCATCGGGTTGCATTTGAATGCTCTCGCGACGACTCCGAAGGACTACAGAATCGTTAACAACGATTCCTCCGCCGCTTCCGGAAGGCTGTTGATCGGACATGGCTTGTCCGTTAATTTCCATCCTTCGGTCGCTGTTCAGGAACCGATAAACAACGTTGTTGTACCCGTCGCCGCATCAGACGTGGAAATCGATTGTCCTGAAAATGCTATTGTGCCATTCGATTCGAACGATCCGAACGAAGATATAAACCAAACTAGCCCGAAGAAGAAAAGGTATGCTTACAAGATCGTCGTACGAAGATCTCGAATTTGTTCGACTTACGGTTTGGTTGCGTTTTTTCAGCCGCAGGACGGACTCGTCGGGGGACGGTGAGGCCTGCAAACGTTGCAACTGCAAGAAATCGAAATGCTTAAAACTGTAAGGCTCGTTTTCGAGTTCGAAAATTCGATCGTTGTTTTCTGTCGTGATTCGATTGTAAATTTGTTGAGAGTTTCAGTTATTGTGAATGCTTCGCTGCCGGGGTTTATTGCGTCGAGCCGTGCGCGTGTATCGATTGCTTCAACAAACCCATCCATGAAGATACGGTTCTTGCAACGCGCAAACAGATCGAGACGAGGAATCCTCTTGCTTTCGCGCCGAAAGTGATTAGGACATCCGAGGTTGTTGCCGAAACCAAGGTTAGAAGATTACCCTCGACTCGTTTTATTCATTTACGGCGTCGCGCATTAAATTAACGTGTTCTGTGTAATCGTAGGATGATCCTAACAAGACGCCGGCATCAGCTCGACATAAACGAGGATGCAACTGCAAGAAGTCGGGTTGTCTGAAGAAATACTGCGAATGCTACCAGGTTTGTTTCGTTTCGTTTCCCTCGAATCCTCGTACGATCTTGTCTTTACTTCGGTTGTCTGAGGCGAAACTTCGATCTCTTCAAAGGGTGGTGTCGGATGCTCGGATAAATGCAGATGCGACGGGTGTAAGAACACGTTTGGGCGTAAAGAAGGTAAGTTTGCGTTTGCGTTTTAATCGATTCGATCGTATCCTCTAAAACTCGAGAAACCGAATTTGCGATTTCTTCGATTATCAGACATGGAAGGCGAGGCTGAGGAAGACGAGCCGGAGACGAACGAGAATTCGATGGCCGACAACGACGTCGATCAAAACCTCGATTCCGCACCCATTGCGACGCCTCAACAACCTGGAAGGTACGCGATGATATATACGATACATTCCCATCAACGTCGCTCGATTTCGGGTACTTACAATTTCGTCATCATTTATTCACCAGGCAATGTGTTCATCTCTCTTCAAACAAAAAGCCGGTAAGATCTTTCCCGTCGAGCGTCGGGTCCTCCCGCCAAGTCAAATCGGGATACTTTCGACTTCCGGAAAAGTTCGATTCTAAATCGGGAAATAACAAAGGGGACGAGATGCCGGAGATTCTCCAAGGACGGTCGCCTCCGATCGGAGGCGTAAAGTTATCGTCGCCTAATCGGAAGAGAGTTTCGCCTCCGCATGCGTCGGGAATGTCAGGCCGGAAGCTCATTCTCCATTCAATACCGTCGTTCCCCTCGCTCAGCCCGAATCTGTGACTCGATCGGCGGGCCCGCGGGCCGACGACGCAGATCGTCAGAGTCGGAAACAGAGCTCCGAAAGAATCTGTTTTAATTGATGAATGAATGTCCGTTTGTAGGTAGTTTCGTGTAACATATTATATGTTTGTTTTTGTCTTAGTTTCGTTAGTAATAAAACTCAGATTCTATGGTGTCTGTAATTGTTACTTGTATGTAGTGAATTTCTTGCATTTTATTGTAGTAAAATTTCAAATGCTTTTTGAGTTTGGATTTGATATTTTTATGAAATGAAATAAATAGTTAATATAGTATTTTTTGAAAACAATATTTTGGATGGCCCAACTATTTCCTTTAAGTCTTCCTATTTGGATTCAGGTTTTAATCCAAACTGAAAATATAAGCATATTCTTGTTCAATATTTTTTTTTATATTTTCAAATATTCTACAATATTTTCAAAATAGAAAATAATTAATTATATCTAATATCTACTCCACATTTTATCCCCTCACATCATCCAAATAAAAAAATAAAATATATATTTCTCTCTCCATCATATCACATAATTATAAATTATTATAATTTTTTAAATATTTTAAAAAAAATAATAGTATTTGATAGTTTGTTTTATGGGGAAAAAATATTTAATTAATTTTTAAAAAAAATTACTATTAAATATTATCAAAATCTCAAAAAATATGTGTAAATGAAACCCTATTGAAAATTTGGAGTTTAAAAAATTTAATCAGATAATAAAAACTAAGTATTTGATATACTAAGAGTAAATAAGTATTTAATATGAGATTTTTAAAATAATAATATAAATAAATAGTGCTAAAAGTGTTTTTTACCTTTTGTGCAAACAAAATGATAATTTTATGTAAAGGACTAAAATAGTATTGAAAAAACAATAAATCAATGATAAAATAAAATAGTGATATATATATATATATATATAATAAATAAATAAATATATAAATAACCATGAATGATTTTGCTGGCAATTTTTGGCACTTTTAGGACAGTGTCTTGAAAGTTCAGACAAAAACACTCCACATGGGGCTGCAAGTACCAAGACTAGTCAAGCACATACTGGACCTATTTATTGGACACCCAGGACCTGGGGTCCCAACCCAATCTGCAGCATTGAAGATAAGCCGGAGCTGGTGGTCCTTGGACCGGCCAAGAATGGGTGCCTATATGAAGCATACTTGTTGCATGAACCAAAACAAGATAAAAGAAACAAAGCAAACTATATGTAGGAAGAAAAGCTACAAGCTTATAATGTAATGTCGTAGGGATGACAATTGAGACGATTTTATTATTGTTGATAGAAGACGTAAATAACCGTCTAACCTAAAATTTTAATTAAACTAATAGAGATAGATATCATTTATTTATTTATAAACGAAAGTCAATTAACGCAAGGGGATAAATTCTATTAAACGAAACTTGGTCATGAACAACGAAAAATGAGGAATAGTAAAACTCAAATTCAAGATCTAAAACTCTGATACCATGTTAGATCAAATAAATGACCGACTTATCTAATAAAAAAAATGAAAAAGGAAAGCATGTTGGTTGACTCAAATTTTAATTTAAAATCTAAATATCTAAAATATTTCAATAACTATTAATGGATTTGTTTTAGGTCTAAACTTTTATATCAAAAGTAGATTATGAATATATATTAAAATTTTAAATTGGTAAAATTGCTCATAATTTCTAGGTGGTTTCGAAATTCAACGCAGAATCTGTTTATATTTTAAAAATTGCATGAGAAAGATAATTTTCTGTCTATATTTTTTGCATAATGGGGTTTCATGCAACGTTTTTTAAAGTATAAGGAGACGCTATGCAATTTTTAAAATAAAATGGGGATTTACGCTGAGTTTCGAGACCATAAAAAGGGTTTCATGCAATAATTTTTAAAGTATTAGGGGCACCATGCAATTTTTAAAATAAAAGGGAAATTTACATTGAGTTTCGTAACCACGAGAAATTGTGGACTAGAAAAAGTATTTTTTATTATTTCATTCAAATTCAAAGTATTTTTTTATTATTTTCGTCCTCTTTATTTTAAAGTATTTCTTTTCTATTTAGTAATCGTACATTAGTATTAAAATACTTTTAAATTTTTACTTAAATTACAAATATATTATTACATATACAATTACTTTATACGTAAACTCAATTGACAAAAATGTTAAAACTTGTCAGCTACGATAAAGTTTTTGAGGGATATTGGAAATGCCCATCAAGTAATTAGGACAAGAAACAAAATATGACATATTTTAACCAATAATTTAATGATTAAGTTTGAATGAAAATAAATAAGATATCTAGTCAACTAAAGTTTGATATATAATAGATTTTATTTTATTTATTTTGTTTTGTTTTATTTCAATAATAATGGTTGTGTTTATTACTCCTATATTTTAAAATTATTTTGAAAATTTTAATTTTTTATTTAATATATTAATTAGAAAACATGTATTGTATATGAAATTTTTTAATGATTAATATGAAAATATATTTGAAAAATATAAATTAAACAAATCAAACATGTAAATACAATTTTTTTTTGTATGATGTGTGAGTTTGTTGTGTTTGCTTACAATTTTTATTATTTCTAATTAATTTATGTTCATTTTTTGAAAAATATATATATACTTATTTTTAAAAAATTATTACATCAAACTATTGTATATAAATTCAAAATATTTTAATAAACTCAAACCAAATAAATTGTTAAAAGCTCTTAGATGAGATCATATTAGGGTTTAGGGTTAGGTGATATTACATTTAACTCAAACAAAATTATATTAGTATGTACTTTTATTTTCAGCATTTGTTAATTGCATAAATTAATATTAGTCTATTAACCAAAATATCTATAAAAAATTTATTTTGTTAACTTAGTGTTATAATTTGAATTTTTATTAATTTATTGATTTTTTATGAAAAATATAATATATATTTATGTATGTGTATATTATATTTTTTACTAATATTCATAAAAAACTGTGGCAACAAAATAGTGTTGGGTGAACACAAAATTTTTGTTATTATTTTGGTTAGCACACACTTAAACCATACAATAATTTTGGGTTCATTTGTCTTTTGAAAAAATATTACTATATCAAATATTTATTTTCATTTAAAATATTGTGTAATCAACCACTATATTACTTTTAAATAAATTACCTAAAAACACTAGAGCCTGCAATCGGTCGATTTGAGTCGGGTTCGTGTCGGATTGAATACTTTAAACGGGTTAAATTACTCAATCCTAACCCAATTCGTTTATTATCTTGTCGGGTTCGTGTTGACCCGTTTATTATCGTGTCAGGTTCAGGTTGACTCGCGTTGACCCGTATACATAATTAAGTCAAATTTTTTGTTGTATTGTCGTGTTATGTTAGTTTTTATTGGTTTGAGCGTAAATTAGGTTGAATTATTTAAAATTGAACTTAGTTTAAATTAATGTATGAGAAAATTAATAAATTATTATTATTTTACATATATAATAAATATATTAATCAATATTAATATATAATAATTGGGTTGTCGTATCGGGTTCGAGTTGAGAGTCTCAGCCCTAACCCGACCTATTTATTATCGTGTCGGGTACATGTCAACCCGTATACATAATCGAGTTGAAATCTTGAACCAAACCCAATTATTTCGTGTCGGGTCGTATCAGGTTGTATAGTGTCGGGTCAGTTTTTGCCAACTCTAAAAAAACACACGTAGCAAAATAAATACATAATACAAGTAACAACTCATTATACTTTGAAGAATGTATCTTACCCCTATATATACAAAAATACATGTATGTTACAACTAACTTAAATTTGGTGATAAATATAAATTAAATGAAGTTTGTATTTGTGCAAAATGTAAGGTAAATAAAGCAATTAATTGACTAAACTCGATTACTTTATAAACACTCTAATCATCTAACTTTTGACAATTGTCCAAATTAGATAATTAGATCTCATCTTAAAGTCATTGTACAACATATATTTTAATGTCATCTTCTTTAATTCTCTCTCTCTCTCACTCTATCTCTCTCTCTAAAAAAAATAAATAAATAAAGTGATAAAGACATTTAAGAAAAAAAATAAATAAATAAAATGAAAGGTGGATACCTAACTTCCTTATAATATACATCCTCAAAAATCATATTCACAATGACATACAAAATTGGTGTTTCACCAATATATAGTTTCTTGTGTTTTGTTTTTTTGGATAGTGTTTTTATTATTTTTCAATCTAAAATAAAAATTTTAGTATTATAAAAAAAATTCATGTAAAATAATACAAACAAATACTTCTTTCTTGGGGTGAACAAAATATTCGAAATCCAAAAATCGGATAACTTTTCATTTATCTTGATATGTTTGTGTAGGATTGATAAAGAGTCAATTTTTCGATATATGAAATAGTGAATTTTGGATCTCGGAGACCCAACAAAGTACGAAAGCCAGGATCTCAGCTCATAATCGAAACGAGTCGCATATTGAAGAATTCCCAAAGGTCCGGCGTATTCGGGTCCAAACTGCCCATTTTGAAATCATTATTCGAATAGAAAATGGAGCACCTAACAACACATCTTCACAGGCCAAGAACAAAAAATCGATTCTATCTCAAATTGGGATTTCTTCTGTGTAATACTAATCAATAGGGCTTCATTGGTAAGTGCTGATCCTCCTATTCAACTACTTCGACCATTTTCGAGTATTAATCAATCCCTAAGATTAGAAGGTCTTTCAAACCAAATCGAAATTTAAAATTTGGTTCGGATTTTCGGATTGATTTGGATTGAATATCTGACAAATTTTGAATTTTCGGATCGGATCGAAATACTTAAAATCCGAACCAATCCGAAATCTGAAATATAATATTTTAATATATTTTTTTACTATATATATTTAATATTTTATTAGAAAAAATTATATTTTAATATAAAAAAACTCAAAATTATTAATTATATTTTAATATATTTACTTTAATATATTATATATATATATCTTTAATATTATAAAATAATAATAATAAAATATAAAAGAAATTTACAAATTAAAAATATTTAGAATTTCGGATCTTTCGGTTTGGTTCGGATTCTTTAGTTCGAATTTTGGATTTTCGGATTTCGAATTTCGATTATTTAGGTTCGATTCAGATTGATTTTTTTCAAAAATTTTGGATTTTCGGATCGGTTCAGATTTGGCAAAATTCGAATCGAGAATCCGA